AAGTATTAGCCATTAAGCACTTGACTGTCAGTAATGAAAGCATGAACTAATGCCTATATCAAAGACTACAGAGACTAAAGGTTGATTTTTTCAGATACTTTGCTGCAGCGGCCTTTGTACTCTGCACAAATGTGATTGGGAAGCAAGCTCTTGAAGCTAGATTTATTACTAAAGATGGTGAGATTCTGCTTTTCTGGACCTCCGCACTATGAAAGTCATTGTTTCGATTTCCAGACTTCGATGATGGTGTTGGTTATGTCTATCAGATCAATGACAGCATTTTTGGTTCATTCGGTTGTGTGCTTGAGAACTCGCATCTGGAATGCATCCCTCTAGAAGTAAGTCTTGATTTTCACCTTTTTCCCGAATTTGATTAAGTTATAATTTTATAGGACGTCGCTGATGCCCCACAGCACTTCGGCACTGTGTTGGGCGCTTCACTTCAACCTGGCGATGTCGCCCAATCGTTGATTCGTTGCCGTCAACTTCGTGTTGGTGATTGGCTACTCTGGAGAGATGCTGGAGCGTATACGATGCCGCTCGATGCCGAACATGCGGTACCGCCGGTGTATTATTTCGCCGGCGTTGATAAGTGGTACGTTTTCATTCTGTCGTTGTTAGGGTTCGTACAGATTTTTGATTCAAAAAGTCCATCCGAATCTGCGATTGGTGAGATTTTGATGCTATAGAATAGCGAGGCCCGTATCCAAGTAATTGCACAAGTCTCGCTGCAGTAGGTATAATTCGAAGGGAGAAAATCGCTTTGGAAGGTGGGTCCCAATGGGGTCGTCACGCCCATGAACTTCGGTACTCCAAAGGTAATAAGCCCAAAAGTGGATTTTATGACACTGAGATATGTCAGAGGTGTGTTTTCCACCATGAAGCAAATTTTCGGGTTCTACATACTAGTGGTTCTGTTTCGGGTTGATTAGCCTTAGACCACATAGGTGGGCGTGGCGACCCCAGCTGCATCCAACTTCTGGAGCGAATTTCTCGCTTCGGGATAGACATCTTACAGAGGGATTTTGGCATTTATATGTTTAAGGGCCTCGCTGTTGTTCTGCATCAAAATCTTACCAATTTCAAATTTTTGTGGAGGGACTCAGTGATTACTCAGTGATTGATATGATCCTTTGCTATCCATGCTCAATGATTCCTTTTCAGGGAGCGTATTATTGGAATTCACAACAAAGCGACTGGAGGCGCTTATGCCACCAGCGCTGACGCTAACAGCTCGGATTCGATGGACTCGGCATCTGATGGAGCGAGTGACGTTGAGAGTCTCGATGACGACAACGAAGACCTCACCGAGTGCTTTGACCGCGTGTTTTACTACTCGCAGTGAGCAAAGAGTGATTTCACGATCACCGCTACAAATGCCACTGCCGAGCACATTCGTCACGTCAAAGCACAAAACCCTTTAGAAGTGCATGTGAGCCATGGGCGATATCATGTTGGAGCAGTGGCTCGCAT